GATCATTCCATTCCCTTGCTTGAAAAATTGTTCCAAAATGAAAGTTGAACCCACATCTTTTTATCTGTGAATTCAATGCCGTTCGGCGAGTCTCAAATAAAAGTTTGGGCATCTTACTGTAAAAAATATATCATTAATGTAAAAAATAAACTCTAAATAAACTTTGTTCACCTCTAGATTTGAACCTGGATCTTCCACACGGGAGGCCATCTTCTTTTCAGATGAGCTAAAGCACCAGTAATGTCTTTTGTGTCTTTAGCTCTTGTATCGTTGATGACAGCTGAAACAACGTTCAAAGACCAGTTTGGAGCGAAAATGGCTATTTTGTTGCTAATTTCCAGGGAATTTCTAGAAGAAAGTAGCTATAAGGTCCTCAGAAATGTAGCTAGGTTCATCACTAGGCATTAGGAACAGCGACAAAGACTAAAGCTACTGATAGCAAATGCTACGGGCTATGCCTGAGCGTGAACGAGCATGAAGCAGCCTGCTCGACCCGAGCATCTCTCTTTTTCTGTGATTTTACAGAAAAACAGGCAATCACAGTAAAAATGCCAGGGCTCATTCTACAGGACCAGGGCATTGCAGGAGAATGTATGAAGAAGACATTTATTATTTCTATACATGTTTTGGCTGTCAAACTTCCATAACGCCCCTTTAACTTTAACTTGTCACATCTTCTCCTATTCTCCATGTTTCCTTTCAGCCACACTAACTAGCTGTTCTGCTGAGTCTGCTGCAGAGAGGGAGGATGTTGCACGGTACCACGGTTACCATGGTGATGGTTACCAGGGCAGCAACGTTGACGTCTGGCAGCAGGAAGTCAGGCCAGTGGTTTCTTCCACTTCATCTTCCTGTGTGACTGTAGGGTGGCGTGTGAATGAGAGCTTGCTGTACAGGACAGAGGAAAACATGTCCACCTACAGCCTGAGCAGACTCCACCCAGACCAAGGCCCTGGCCCCACCCACTCATCTAGCCCAACCCACTCCATCAACCTGATTCCCCGTCCAAACTCTGTTGCTGGTAAGAAGTGTGTATCATATCCTGTATACACACACACACACACACACACACACACACACACACACACACACACACACACACACACACACACACACACACACACACGCGCGCGCATGCACGCACGCACGCACGCACGCACACACACACACACACACCTTCCTGTTAGGAAGGAAAAGCCTTTTTAAAAAGCAGTCTTAGTTTAAAGCTAACAGGATGTTCAACTCGCTGCAGTTTCCTGGTGATTGATGGTCCTGGTCTGAGTTTAGATGAAATGGTAAATGGCCGGTATTTGTATGGCGCCTTCTTGGGGTTCTATAATCCCCCCAAGGCAATTCACAACACATTCAGTCATCCACACATTCACACACACATTCACACCCTGGTGGGGACGAGCTTAGATGAGCCACTGCTAGGTCGGGGCACACTGACAGAGACAAGGCCTGCCCAACAACTCCGGTTTTACCTACTTGTGTCAGAATTACTGGATGTTGGCAGCACAAACACACCTGGATGTCCTGATCTCCACAGAGATGTACTCTGAGGGCACAGTTCAGAGAATTCCTCTAAAATCCATGCAGCTCATGCTTTCCTCACGTTTTATGATGCCGCTAGCACTTACAAACAAGAAGGAAGTTATTAACTTTCTGTGCCAAACAAACACACACGCACATTTTTTTCTTGAGGGGGAATGACAGCGCTGTTGACAAAGTGAACGGAAGCACTGTCGTGACCAATCAAGGGCTTGCAGTCTTCGTTTCTTTTGATGAATTCTTAGAAAAGTGGGCTCTACTCCGTCCGTGCAAGCCTGTTAGAGAGCCCTTGCAACAACGGATAATGGTGTTGCACGTCTCTGCACTGATGCAGACAGAGAAGCATAAAATAGCCTTTACTCCTTCCATTTTTGGTTCTTTTTTAAAACACAGAAAAGGTTTCTCTTTACCTTGCTAACCGTTTCGTTTAGTGGCTGTAAACATCCTCAGAGCTGACGCTGTGGTGGCCTACTCACTTCCTTCTCCGTTTATCCGCGGGCAGCAGAGGACGTTGTCGCCCTCTGCTGCCCGCTCTCCCCTCTACGACGATACAGTCCCAAGTGCGATCCAACGAGTAACTCCATCGTCTCTGTTCATGGTCCCACATCCACGTCTCCTTATCTCGATTGCTTCCTTTATCCATCTTTTGTATTTCTGTTGTTCGGTGGTTATGATCCTTGTGTTGTCCCAGTCCATTATATGGTTTTCTCTTCTGCAGTGATCTGTTACGGCTGACTTCTTTATTGTGCTTTCTGCTTCTTGTTTTGCTGCTCTTGTGTGTTTGACTTGTTTCTTTCTCACACTCCTTTCTATGTTCTATTGTTCGTGTATTGAGTTGGCGTTCGGTTTCTCCTATCTATGTTTTATTGCAGAGTTTGCATGGGATTTCGTAAATGACTCCACATTTAAGTACAGCTGATATTTTGTCTTTTGGGTGTACTAGTCTGTTTCTAACTGTTGTGTATGGCTTTGTTGGTGTGTTTATGTTGTGTTTTTTCATTGTTGCTCTTATTTTTTCTGTTATGCCTTTGATGTATGGTAGGGTTATCACTGGTTTTGGTTCTTATGTCTCTGGGTTTCTGGTTCTTTGCTTAGGTTGTTCTTTTCTCTCTGGTGTTGTTTGTTGTTGTCCTTAGTTTATTGCCCATGTCGGGTATCCGTAGGTCTTTAAAGCATGTTGTATGTGTTTGTCCTCTTGTTTACAGTCTCTCTCTTCTGTTACCATGTTTGCTCGGTGATATAATGTTCTGATTACTGACATTTTGTGTATGGTGGGGTGTTCTGATGTCCATAATAGATATTGGTCTGTGTGTGTTGGTTTCCTATATGTGCTTATGTTTAGGGTCCCGTCGGTCTGCCTGGTGATTTTCATGTCCATAAATGCTATGCTGCCTTCTGTTTCTGACTCATAAGTGAACTTTATGTTGCCTGGGTTGTCCATGTTATTCAAGTGTTGTGTTAGTATTTCTGTTGGTCCTTTTGGTATGATTTCTACGTCTACGTAGCGTTTCCATAGTTTTATTTAGCAGTTGGGGGGGGAGGGGGGGGGCAGTGGCTATGGCTTTTTGCTCTAGGTCTTCCATGAAAACCTGGCACAGGGTGACAGGTAACGGGTTACCCATGGCGAAGCCTTCCAGTTGTTTGTATATTGTGTTGTCGTATGTGAAGTAAGTGGAGTTAGCTACCAGTGCTATCAGTTGTGCTATGTCATCTGCTGTGAGGTTTGTCCTTTTGTGTAAAGTCTTGTCCTGTCTGATTCTGTTAACTACTATGTCTATGGTTTTTTGGGTTGGTGTTTTTGTGAACAGGGATGTGACGTCATGTGAGATGAGTATGTCGTTGTCTTCTATTGTAATCTCCTTTAGTTATTTTGCCAGTTCTATGCTATTTTTGCAGTGTTGGTCTGTGTTGCCTAATAACGGGCTGATGATTCTGCTGATATCTCTTACCATGTTGTATATTGGTGTACCTATGCTGTCAGCTATTGGTCTAAGTGGGGTGTTTTGATTGTACATTTTTTTAGTTCTGTAGATTCTTGGTATTATGTTTGCTGTAGGAATCCAGTGTTTGTACATTTTTTCTGTTATTTTGCCCATTTTTCATATTTTTTAATGCTTTCTGTTGGGTCTTTTTAAAGTATTTTGTATGTATTTTTGTCCTGCAGCTGCCAACGAAACTGTCAGCAAGGTAAAAAGAAACCTTTTCTGTTTTAAAAAATAACCAAAAATGGTATTAGAAATCAGACACAGCAAGAACGTACCAAAGCAGTAGCTCAGGTGGGTAGAGCGGGTTGCCTCATGATCGGAGGGTCATGGGTTCGATTCCAGCTCCCGCCAGGGGTATCCTGCTGTTGTGTCCTTGGGCAAGACACTTCACCCAAACTTGCCTGTGTTAGTGGTGGTCAGAGGGGCCGACGGCGCCAAATGGCAGCCTCGCCTCTGTCAGACCTCCCCAGGGCGGCTGTGGCTACAAGTAGCTTACCATCACTAGCAGTGTTTGAATGTGAGAGTGTGTGAAAGCGTCTTTGGGTGTCTAGAAAAGCGCTATATAAGTTCAATGCATTATAATTATTACTAAAGAAGCCTTTACTCCTCTCACACTTCCTGTTTGAAAAATGTGCCAAAAGGAGGCGTTTCCTGGCTGACTTAGAGGGCAGTGCTGCGGCAGTGGCACCACCAGCAGCTCTGAGATTCTCCATCAGATACTTGAGCTGCTAACACACACACACACACACACACACACACACACACACACACACACACACACACACACACACACACACACACACACACACACACACACGACTCTGCAGAACAGCAAAAGAAGGAAATGCTGCTGGATAGTTTGAGATCTTGTACCCCTGTACTGACTATTGCCAGTCAGTTTGAAGATAAAACATCCGTGTAGAACTCTCTACTCCAAGTCACCGTTGCTTGTGATCCTGCTGCACCACGACTACCAACTTCCAGCTCTACTCCTGACCCATTTTCACCTTGGTCAGAGGTTGTGGTACGTAGCCGTGGGAGAGCCCCTGTAGTTGATCCCATCCCCCCACCTGACCTGGAACAACCAGCTGATACCTCCAGGCACCCTCCTCCTTCTGAACCATCTGATGACATCCAGCAGGAGCCTCCGGGAGAAGCAACCTCCACAGTCTCTTCCCCCCAGACCTCAACCTCTTATGCCCAACGCAAAATTCTGGACCGCTGAACCACCTGCCCTGGGTCAGGAGGTGAGCTCCTCCACGGCAAACCCTCCAGTTCCCCGGCACCACCAGAACCCAAACCCAGAATCCTCCACTACTCCATGGGAACACAAATCAGGAGTCCTCTACGCCTCGGCCACTGTTTCCACCAACCACTTTGCTGGTAGGTGATTCTTTTTTAACGTCATGACGAGATGTTTTCCATCAGCCACCATACCTGCTCTCCTGGATAAACTTCCTGGTCTGCTCTACTCCATCCCAGCTTCAGTTAAAAGAGTGATCATTCATGTGGAATCAAACGATGTCACACGCCGGGAGTCCGTCATCACTCAACAGCATGTGAACCATCTCTTTGACATTCTGAAGAGCAGCAGAATGTCTGTTTTCATCTCCGGCCCGATCCCCACAGTTTCTCGTGGATATGGACGTTTTAGCCGTCTGCTCTCTCTCTACTCCTGGCTTCAGCCTGCTTGCAGGTCCCACAGTTTTGGTTTCATCGATAATTTTAACCTGTTTTGGAACCGTTTCTCCTTTTTCAGACGAGATGGTATTCACCCTAACCAACATAGCTCTAGCATGCTAACCGCTAACATCCGGTATGCTGTGCAGTCCCATAGATATACATCTGTGGTGGATTCCCTTCCACAGACATGTTGGTTTGCATCCCAGCCATCTTCACCTTCTTTGGCCATCTCTCACACCCCCACCACAAATAACATCACTCCCTACAGTCTTCCCACGATGCAACAGTCTTCTGTGTGTCTTCCAAAGGTCACAATCACCAAAATGTTGTCTTCTGCTGACAAACTCAAGAGTTTCCCTATTCCAGTTCATTTATCAACCAACAAAGACATAACCTGCATTCATGGCCGGAGAACCCAGAACACCAGATGTTTACGACCCATCGCTCTCCAACAGATTAAGAAGACAAATGTTCTCCAGGATTCAGTTCGGGGTGCCCTGTTAAACGCCCGCTCCATCTCAAACAAATCCTTTATTTTAAATGAGCTGTTCACCAGAGAAAAGTTGGACTATTTATTTATTTCTTACGGAGCAAGATGGACACTTTGTACACTTCAATGAAATATATCTGAGAGGGAAGTGCTCTCTTAGAAACATATGGAACAATCAGATCACTGATGTATGATGGACCATAGTTATTAAGAGCTTTATATGTGGGAACGAGGATCTTAACAAGAGTCGTCTCAAGGCACTTCACAAAGTAAACAATCCAACACAGGTCAGTTCATTAAGCCAATCAGTAAAAAGTTTCCTATATAAGGAACCCAGCAGGTCGCATCGAGTCACTGACTAGTGTCAGAGTCTTTACAGCAATCCTCATACTGAGCAAGCATGCAGCGACAGTGGAGAGGAAAACTCCCTTTTAACAGGACGAAACCTCCAGAGGATCCTGGCTCAGAATAAGCAGCCATCCTCCACGACTCACTGGGGATGGAGAAGACACACACACACACACACACACACACACACACACACACACACACACACACACACACACACACACACACACACACACACACACTCACTCACACTCACCACACTCACACTCACACTCACACACACTCACACACACACACACACACACACACACACACACACACACACACACACACACACACACACACACACACACACACACACACACACACACACACACACACACACACACACACACGAGTAGTGTTTCTATGGTTATATTGTGATTTATTAGTAAATATTCTATTTGGTGAGAGATAAACTTTATTGTATTTATCCTAGTGAATCTATAATTAAACGGGTAAACTAGTAGTAGCACATTCGATGTCAAAGAGAGTAAAAAGTTATTATCAGGAGAGGGAGAATGTTTAAGTGGTTAGCAGCAGTGTGCTAGCCGATGGCCCCCTCCATGAGTCCACCACAGCTCAGCTGAACATCGTTGTAGCTTCTTCTGGGGAGAAAAACACTTGGAGAAAAAATAAAGTTAACAGCTGAAATTGCAGAAAATAATACAGTTAAAGAGCAGACTTTAGAAGAAAGTAGTCGAGTGTGGAAAGTGGTCAGCTTATCCTTCAGCAGTCTAAGCCTATAGCAGCATAACTACAGAGATAACTCTGGATAATCTATCCTATTTAGATGGAGGCATGTTGGAGGCAGGGCAAGGGAGAGCCGTCTTTACCGACTGTACACTCCACCTCCCTCTACTCCCCCACTTGTCCAGATCTAGGCTAACATCAGATTTTAACCATAGGCCCTATCAAATAAAAATGTTTTAAGCCTATTCTTAAAAGTAGACAAAGTGTCTGCCTCACGGACTAAAGCTGGGAGCTGGTTCCACAGGAGAGGAGCCTGATAGCTAAAATATCTGCCTCCCATCCTAAGTTTAGATATTCTTGGAACCACCAGTAGACCTGCAGTCTGAGAGCAAAGTGCTCGGTTAGGAAGATATGGAACAATCAGATCACTGATGTATGATGGAGCTTGATTATTAAGAGCTTTATATGTGAGAAGAAGGATCTTAAAATCTATTCTGAATTTAACAGGTAGCCAATGTAGGGAAGCTAAGACAGGAGAGATGTGGTCTCTCTTTTTAATTCTCATCAGAACTCTAGCTGCAGCATTTTGGACAAGCTGGAGACTTTTAACTACATTCTGTGGACTTCCTGAGAGTAATGGATTACAGTAATCCAGTCTTGATGTAATAAATGCATGAACTAGTTTTTCAGCATCACTCCTGGAAAGGATGCTTCTAATCTTAGCAATATTCCAACGGTGGAAAAAGGAAATCCTACAAACCTGTTTAACCTGGGATTTGAATGACATGTCCTGGTCAAAGATAACACCAAGGTTCCTTACTTTGTTCTTAGAGATTAATGTAATGCCATTCAGGTCAGGTGATTAACTAAGCAGTTTCCTTTTCTGGGTTTCAGGTCCAAAGATGAGAACTTCAGTATTGTCTCGATTTAAAAGCAGAATGTTTAGAGTCATCCAATTTTTTATGTCTTCAAGACAAGCCTGTAATCTACCTAACCGATTAGGTTCATCAGGGTTAATGGATAGATATAACTGAGTATCGTCAGTTCTTCCGGGGGACCCATGAGCCGACCGGAAAGGGAGGAGACTTAAGCTCCCTATGTTACTGAACTGTTAAAGCCTTATGCTCCAACCGGAGTCCTCAGGTCCACACACCAGAACCTTCTAGATGTTCCAAAGGCCAGATATAAAAGTCAAGGTGATCGCTCCTTCCAGACTGTTGCACCCCGACTTTGGAATGATCTTCCTTTATCCTTACATAGCATTGACAGTCTGAACACTTTTAATAACAGCTGAAGATCCTTTTATTTATAGCTGCTTTTATTGAAGTCTTTTGTTTTCTTATTTTTAACTCAAATTTGTAATCATTTTTCATCTGTTTTGTGGTATTTTATAATTTTATGACTTTATTTTTCAGATTTTATTCTGTTTCTGTTTTAACATCATGATTTTATGTTTTATTTTGTTTTGATCTATGTGAAGCACTTTGTGATTCTATGTCTGTGATGAGTGCAATATAAATAAAATTTTCTTACTTACTTAATCCTGTCAGTGGAGAGGAACAACTTCAATATCAAACATGATTTCCTTCTTTTTCGTTTAATGGCAAACTGCATAAACAATCCGTGACCTTTGAAGTCTCGAGGGATCTTGTGATCTTGCGAGTCCAGCGAAGAGTCCAGAGAAGAGTCCAGCGAAGAGTCCAGCGAAGAGTCCAGCGAGGAGTCCAGCGAAGAAGCCGTTCTGCAGCCAAGAATCTCCCAGTGTGCACTGGATCTTATTCAAACTTGCGAGTAAACCAATCCGCTGCCATTCTGCGCCACTGATGCTTCCAATGTGAAATAGAGGTTACACTAGTTGTTGCGCTCTTTTGTAGATGCTATTTAATATCTATTATTTTTATGTTTATGATCATGCATATTGTGTATGACCCAATTTGCCTTCTATTTCTCCTTGATCTTTGCTGTGAAGAACATCTGCAATTGCATTTGGATTGATTAATCTGCTCTCGCCTAACCTGTACCCTCTCCATCCAGCTACTAGTTCAGCCCACATCGAAGACCTGGCATACCTGGATGAACAACAGAGACACGTTCTCTCAAAGACATCCCTTGGGATGCTCAAGCAGGATTCTGGGAGTCGCAGTCAGCATAACAGGGGTGAAAACAAAACTCTCACAGTCCTAAACACACACTTTTTAAAACCACACTGTGTGAAATTAAAGTTTTCTCTCTCTCCTCTTGCAGCCTGTTTCAGTTCCACCATCAACCTGAAGCCACTCCAGTTTGAAATTCCTGGCCTCTTGGCTGACTGGATGTTTACTGGGAGGGAGTGGCTATTCCAGGAGTTGGATGCCTGCCTTTGCAGTGACGACCCTGAGACTAACAGGGGGGTGGTGATAACTGGCAACATGGGGTTTGGAAAAACAGCTGTCATTGCACGCTTGGTTGCACTGAGTTGTCATGGAAACCTCATGTGGCCTTCTGCCTCCAGTAGCAAGACCATACACACATGTAAGACCAAAAAACCAGCAAACATGAAATGTCCATGTTTGTCCATAGCTCTGGACATTCACACCTTTGCTTTGTTCTATCCTGTGCCTCAGACAGTAACCCTCAGCTGTCTCCTACTGATGTATAGATAGATAGAGACACCCTCAGCTGCAAATTGCATCGATACGGGACTGACTCAGCTGTTGTTTCTGTTCAAGAGTGTGCACGTACAGCATGTGTGCCTCATGCACGAGCTTACTATTGAAGCTGCAGTTACGCGTGTAGCCTGAGGGGGCAATCGCGAACATAAAAATGTCAAACTGCTTATAGTCCCTTTAATTTTAGCTAAACACTGCATGAAAACAAGGACTACTAGAACTGCAAGCATTTATCAACGGGTTCCAAGCCACCAGCGCCAGTCGCCCACCCGCCCCGCCCTCAACTTCGCCAGTCCTCCCGCGGTCCCGCCCCAAAAACACGTTCTCCTTCCGGCATCCCGTCAGCTCACTTCAACCGGCGCAATGAAAGTAACACTCAGGATATGTCATTAAACCTGCGAAGCCTATACACATATCTTTCAGAGGCATGGCTGACTTCTCAATCGTGATTACAATGGAATTCCACTGTTTCCTTATTAAAGAACGTGAAGATTTAATGAGTGAGATTATCAAACAATGATCTATACATCAACAGAATATTACAAATAACATAAATACTTGATAATGTCTTTAGATTTAAAAGATTTTCAACAAAAACTATGAGCTTCATTTTGTAACTTACTGACCAAATGTTTTAAAAAATCATGAAAAATACATAAATCATCCTAAAATTACCAAAATATTCTCACATGGCAGTGTTAACATGCGGAATAATATGATGTTGTTTTTAAATCAGTAGACTCAAAGCTTTTTTGAAGAAAAATTGGGAAATATAACTATAAAGGTCACAACAAAAATTAAAATATTCATAAAAAAATAGTGCTACTTTCTAAAATTAGGAGAAAAATCTCAGATCACCATAGCTACATGTGGAATGTTGTAAATGGCTTATATTTACTGTATACCTGAAAAGCTTTCTGACAAAAATTAATTACGTTGTTGTCCAACTATACAGAAAAACTGGTAAAAAGTTAAAAATTCATTAAAAATCTATGCTTTTGTACAGAAATCTCAAAATATTCCCAGGTTGCCTCTGTGACGTGAGAATTCTTCTTATATTTTTGTTGGGGTCATAAATGTAAAACTGTACTTACAATAAAATAATATTTGCATTAGTGGCTGTAGACAAAAATATGTCCTATAATTAAACACTAGGGGGAGCTCAAATCAAGACGACATTTTTTTTGTTTCATAAACCACCTAAGAGTGAACTTTGTGGCAAATTACAAGAAGATTGTCAGAACAGAATTTGCGCTACAATTGCTAGCCTAAAAATGTATTTTCGTAAATATAAAGCGCAAACCTATTTGTGGAGCTGCGGCTTTCGTGACATAAGCTCTAGCCTATACAGTTAACACATTCTGGAAATCCTAGCCTCTTACATGCAAATAGTGATTTTTAGGAAATTTTTCAAATTTGAAATTTGAAATGATCATAAACCACGCCCACTTTGATCAATCATTACCATATTGATAATGTAGTCTTAAGACTCTATAGTGATGACAGCCACTAAGTTTCGTGCAGATCCATTTAGCCGGTTCAGCAGTATAATTTCTTCCCAGTTATAGCGCCCCCTATTGTTTAATCAAGTTGAAAACCAGGACATACACTTGAATTGACCTTAGGTATGACTGTTATGAACAGCTTTGAAAAATGTCAAAATCTTTTGAAGTTACGCTAATAAAACTTTTTCATTCCCAAAAAATTATTTTAAAAAATCATATTAAAAAAATAAGAAATTATCCATAATCCCTTCACATCTTTTGGTCAGCCGCTCCTCCTCTCTTGTCAGGGAAAGTTGTGATGTGATTGAGTTTGACGGCCGGGAGGAGTTAACGAAAGTACGTTGGACTTACTATGCAAATTTCTACTAATTTGCATAAGTTTAAAACATTTTTTAAAATACTCATCTAAATTTGACTGACTCAATGAACACACTGGATGAGATCATTTGTTTTTTAACGAAAGAAATGGGGAGAAACATGCCAAAAATATTTTTGGGGTACCACAGCGCCACCTATTGGACAAAATTCAAAAAAAATTCTGTGATTGTAGATGTCGCTATGACTGATATGAATTGTAATTTTCTGTATAGAATATGTATTTTTCATGAGTAAAAGGGCGAAAATTTTTAAAGCCTATAAGCCACGCCCACTTTTTAATCATTTTCGAAATATAGCTTAAGGGTCCAATGATTAACATATGTGCCAAGTTCTGTGGAAATCCATCAAGCCGTTTAGCTGAAACAAACTTTTTGACTCTTTAGCGCCCCCTATTGATGAATGCAAACAAAATCGGGTAGATAGGGCTTACCGCTCATACTTCATAAGGGTCTAGAGTAGGGATGCACCGATCAGGTTTTTTGCTGCCGATCACCGATACCGATATCAAAGAATGCTGATCACCGATACCGATCACGTGGATTGGCCAGAAATTTTCTACAACATTATAATGAGTGCTACAAACTACATAATCTGGGAATAAAGGAAATGTAACCTAATCTAAAATGGTCTGTATTAGGTTGTCACGGTGTGAAAATTTAACCTCACGGTTATTGTGACCAAAATTACCACGGTTTTCGGTATTATCGCGGTATTTTTTTTAAACGTGCTACATTTTCACACAATTAAATAAACACTGTATATCAGGAAATATTATCCTCAGTTTGTGTCTAAATTTAGCCTAAAATGTGTTATTTTGTAATTATGTTGTTTATTTGTTTACATTTTTCCCCTTTAGTCTTTAAAATACCAATATTTGCCCATAACTTCGTATTTTATGTCTGTTTGATGTCATCATTAAAAAATATTAGATCAGATGATACTCAGTACTCAAGTAGCCTTCTAATCAGATACTTTTTTTTTACCCTTACTTGAGCAATCCGTATTTCAGGAAAATATTGTCCTCGGTTTGTGGCCTTACCAGTGAGCTTTGCAGATGTGGGAAAATGTCATCAGGCAGTAATCATTGTTAAATTCATAATTATTCTCGGAGAGAGACCAACTCTTATCTGCCCCTGGAAGCCCCGTAATGCATAGCGTCATTTCAACATGGGGGTGTCCGCGACACGGTTTATATGCAGGTAGCGGCGCTGCGGCTGCTTTATATAGCGACTCGTTGCGTTCTCCCTCAACCCAAATCCTCGGATCACGCATTTTAGCTAAAACGCTAACGTTAGCTTGCCTTGCGTTGACTGTAGAGTTGTGGGTGATGGTCACGCAGATGTGTCATGAGATTTGAAGCGTTTCTGCCTTTCACAGACACTTTTTCTGCTCGTGCTGCAAACAGGATAGCCGTCCGTCTTCTATAAACTTCCTCGGCATTCTTCAAATATCTAAAATATGCCCGTACTTCCGACTTTGTCTTCTTTGAGGGATAATAAATGTCCTCCTGAGCGCTGCCGTCTCCTCCTTTGACCATTATTTCAGCTTTAGCTTCAAGAAAGTTTTGTTGTAAACAAAGCGTGCATGTGCCGCCGGCAACTTCAGCAGGTGATACGGTGGCTGGTAAGGGTCACCGCGCCTACACCGCAGCCACGGTAAACCCACCAAGATAATATAGTTTTTTAAAAACAAGACGGTTATTATTGTCAACTTTTTTTTTTACCGGGGTTTAGCGCTACACTGGTTACCGTGACAACCCTACCTGATCGGTTTGCTTTGATCTATTTTGAAAATTCCGATCAAAACCGATAGGGGCGCTATCGGCCGATTACGATCAAATGCCGATCCATCGGTGCATCCCTAGTCTAGAGTCTCATCAATTTATCTTGAGAAATGGTCAAGATATCATCAATTACCACATGTGCTAGCTAGCGCACTGATTTTGACATGGTGTCATTAGCCCAATTTTCAATATTTCTGCATTTTTCTTCACCACAACAACTTACCTTAGTCCATAGATAACATGTACGAAGTTTGAAGTTGATTCGACGAAAAATGACGAATAGGTGATTAAAAGTAAGTTTTGCGTTTTTTGCGATCTAGCAAAAAATCTAATTAGGCGGAAATGGGCGTGGCCAATACAAACGACGTGCAGAATTATCCAAGGATCATGTACATATAAAGTTTTTGACTGTAGGACCTATGGTTTGGGAGCTAGTAGCTGAAACGTATTCACCTCCGCAATAGCGCCACCTAGGTGACTCGGGGTCCAAATTTTCGAATCTGAGTAGCGGTCAGGATTTTGTATCAGACTGCCATGTCAGATTTTTCCTGGCAATTTCTGGCTCCTGCCCCCATACAGACATAGCGGAGAAGAATAATGAATAATAAATAATGAAAAATCCGTAGAAAAACAATAGGGTTCCCTGCCCTTTGGGCTTGGAACCCTAAAAAACCAGGCACATGTAAAAAAAGGTCAATTGACACAATCAGTTAAAACAATCAGGTCAGAGGTCTAATGGGGTGCTGTGAGTCTGTAGCGCATTTTCAGTTTTGCTTTAAATGCCCCCAAGTGAAGTTGTGAGTCTAATTTCCAGTTGAAGGCCATTCTACAATTTTGGGGCGAAAGCGGACAAAGTTCAATCTCTTATCCAGTG